GACGGAAGATTGTTTTAGACGAGAGAATTTATAAGATTTCCGATCTCTCTATGTCGTGTGTGAGAGAGAGCTCGCGTGACTTCCCTCGCGCAATCCGGTCCTTTGACACCGAGGGAAACGGAGGAGAAAGATGTCGCGCGTTCCATAAATCCTTTATCGATTACAGCTTTAGGCACAAGCACAATCGTTAATCTAACTCGTCCAGATAATGAACGTCTTGGTATGGCAGGAAATAAAGTGTATAATGCGGTCATTTGTCTGCGAGTAGAGCGCGTCGTAAGTAAAACACGTATGTGAGAATAGAACGTGGCCTCCCTTACTTACCGCATTGAAACCAAGGCAGTTTTATGAATGGGAGAAGGAAAACATTTGTCTTCATGTTTCACCGTTATCTTCCTCGATTTCTATTCTGTAAGAATGTAATATTGCATAATTAGAAGAAAATAATTGATATGACTATAAATGGAAAATAATGGCAATCCAATATTGAAAAATTCGTCAATATAATTATCCTAAGATTAACAATTTCAAAAGAAGGCCAAACTAACGAGCAATTAAACGAGGATGATAGTGTTTATTATAAAATCAAATTTATAATTTTTTAACAAGTTAAATTACACGGACAAGGTAAAATAACGCGGTATATGTTTCTACTTAATTTAGTTTACTTTATCAACATGTGTTGGTTATAAAAATATAATAATTCGTGTACATATAAAGATAATGTCGAAGTGAAAAAATAAAAAAATAGGGATATATATACATTTGAAGTTGTTTTTCCGGTGATGTTAGAACATTCGCCATTTTGGTCGAGTTGCAAAGTATTTACACAGAAGAGGTGATTATTTAGTTGACAAAGATTAAAAACTAGTCTGATTGTCTAAATATAGGAATGTAAATTGGCAATGATAGAGTAAAACTCTTTAATATCTACTCATTTTTTATTTCAATCAATTAAATCTAATTTATTTATTTCTCGAACTTACAATTTACATTCTTATATTTGGACAATCAGATTAGCTTTTAATCTTTGCCAACCAAATCATTCTTTGGATCTCTTCTATGTAAATATCTTCTTTGTAACTCGATCAATATGATGAATGTTTTAACATCATCGGAAAAACAACCACAATATATATATATATATTTCTATTTTTTAATTTTTAACTTCAATATCTTTATATATACACACAAATTATTATGTTTTTATAACCAACAGATGCGGCTGATAAAGACTAAATTAAGTAGAAACACATACCGCGTTATTTTTAACTTATTATTATAATTTAGTTATTATAATTTGTTAGAAAATTGAATCGATTGGATTTTATAATAAACGCTATCATCCTCGTTTAATTACTCATTAGTTTGACCACGTCGAGTTTCTTTTGAAATTGCTCGTTTTTACATTGACAAGCTTTTTCGACTTGTTGTTATTGTTTATGTCAAAATTGTTTAAAAAGATCGAAATTATATACATATAAAATAAAATTATTATTATGAAAGTTTATATTAAAATATATATTTGAGAATAAATAAAATAAAAATGTACAATAAATAAAACTAATGTAAAGAAGTTGCTTGTCTACTAATATCCGTATAAATTAAATAATATATTAATAATATTAATTTTATATACTTTAACAGATTATTTTTGAATAAAATAAAAAAGCGGCATAATTATCATATAATGTTGATTTTAGGCGTTACGGTTGTACAAAATTTAACCAAACAGAGAGTACCAAAATATTTCTCGTTTGTTGCTCGGGAAAAGCGTGCGCGCGGTGCTTGCTTTGAAAATTTTAACATATACGCCGGTTGGGAACATATGGCGTTCGTGGTTGGCCTACGAATGGCTGAATCACAACCTGCGAGAAACGTAACGTATCGCGGGTCTACCATGGAAGAAAAACACGAATATCAAATATCCCTTGTAAATTAGAGAATCCGCGAATTCGGTTTTCACGAATCTAATATAGATTTAGCGCGCTGAATATCGTGCGTGAAATTATCGGCAGTTCCATATTAAATGTTAAGTAGTTTATGAAATGTCAACCAAAAAAATCATCGTATCACATATTTTGTTTGCTTCTACTATTTTTTAATAATTTTTTTTATTTAAATGTACAGCGTGTTACACATATTTTTTATTTAAATATAGTTATTTATTTTTGAAAGGGAAACGCATACTTCTAAAAAAAGTTTATAAATTTTTCGAAGATAACTATTTCCATAAAGATATTTGTAACAGTGAAGTTAAAGAAATCTGAAGTTATTTTTTTTAACAAAGAGGTTTTATTGATTGTTGAATACAATATTAAATTCCTTTTTTTAAATTATTTTAAGGACAAAGTCAAAATTTCATGGCTGAACGATTGCAACAGATTTGAAATAATCTCTATTCGTATGATCGAAGAAAGTTAATATATAATACTTTTTTCTTCTTACACATGATTGTCATTTAAAGAAACAGCTTTAAATATAAAACTGCATATATAGCACTATAATTAGTGTGTGAATAAAACTTTTCATATTCTGTATATAATATCAAGTCGGGAATATTTGGAACAGTATCTCTCTCAACAAGAGATACATTTTGTATCAGATTTATGTCAAGGTATTTCTTATCGAAAATGTTACAGAAGCATCTGTTACAAGAATCGATACCAACAACTGGAATAACGAGTGGTCGGAAATCTGGGTGGCGATCGCGCGGTTTTCAGTTTCTATCTCGGTATTCGAGATGCGCGGCCGATATCGTATTTGTCTTTTCGGTGAATAACCTTGTGTCTTTTAGTTATATACAAGAGAGGATCCCTGGTCGCCAATTATGCGAATATACCAGGATCACTGCGGGATGCTCCTTCGATGGCGATCCCAGGAGGCCGCGGCGAATCGCGATACGAATAATATTCGGGTCGGATATTTCGGGCCCCGGGAAGATCTTCCGCTTTTCTCTGCGAAATATTATCACGCTCGTTCAACCACTGCTCTGTTTCGGGAATCCGTCGAATACTCTTGATGTTTTTCCCCGACGTATTTTCCGCGTGATCGTGAATCTGCATTTTGAAGAACTTTGTTTCCATATTCGTTTCGTCATTGATTCCCAGCGGAAACGCTCAACATCCCAATGCTCTTAGTTCTTATACATATACAATAAAAGACCATATATTGATAGTATCCACATTACGATCAATTAAATACTTTTTAGAATATAAAAATTCTTGTTTTGAATTTCGATATAAATATAAAAACAAGTTTAGTTATTAATTAAACGATTAATTGGAAATAAAAGCTGATTCACTAATTAGGAAGAAAAACCTGAAGTTTGAAAAAAACTTTTTTAGGTCATATTCGTACTAGTAAAGTGGATGGTAGACGCGCATTTTTATGTTATATGTATTATGCGTTATTTTTAACTATTATAGATATTATATTTAACCTATTAATTTGTATGTCACTCTTAAACTTTCAGAAATTTATCATCTTTCGAATTTTTCATTATTTAAATCTTGTATTATTAATAAGTTTTCTTCTAATTTATGTTAGAATTTAATTTTTTACTTAATTTTGATCCGATTTTTTTAACATCTACGTACATTTGGTTTCCACGTTTTTATACCCTTATACGTAGCTTTTCTCATTTTTATTCTTTACACGCTATTTACGTACACGTTGTACAAAGAAAAAGGAAGAGTAAAATATCATTAGGAGAATTGTTTGCAAAGCGAAGCGACAGAAATGGACAAGAGCCCGGGCAGAAGAATGTTATCCGCGCCCCTATCGATCTCCCACGATTCAACAAAAATACTACATCCGCACGCCAGGAGCGTAGTTTTAAGAAAAACTTGCACGTACCTCGCCCCGAAAAAAAAGCCAGTACTTTTTATTCGTCGAAACTAGTTAATACCACGTTAGGGGCACCTTGTGCGTAGTTTTGGAACACGCTCCAGTTTCCCGTCTTCTCCCGTTTTAGTCGTAATTCCTCCTTTTTTTCTCTTCCTTTTTCAAAGGCGCATATGGTCGCGCAAAGTGAACGCGCAAAGTGTATTGAAATAGAGAACTTAAAAAGAAAACATAGTTTTTTATGCAAATGGAATAAGGTTTCCGCGAAAAGAAAATTGTGCCGCAGTAAAGCACGACGGAAATATTTCTCTCTTAACATAAATTCCTCTTAAAACCACATCTTTAATTGCTTACGTTATTTGCTTAAAGAAAAAATTTGCCGCAGCTTCATATATTTACATTCGCATTTGACAAACTACTAACATCACTTAAGTAGGAATGCGCCGTTAGTTTATTTTGCGTGTAAAATGGAGTTGAAATTTTCTGTTGGGATGGCGCGAGCGGCGCGGCGCTCTATTTATATTAAATTCTTCAAGCTTGTTGGCACAATTTTCTATCGAAAAATATGTTGGCTTGAGGTTGACGGGGAACGTATGATGAATAAGCAAGGAGCATGCCGACCGTTGGCCGGCATAAAATTAATCAACTTCTCGCATCATGCAACGATGCGCAACGCACTTCGCGGTATGCATTATTCAACATAATTATTGCTATTCTTTAATTAAAGTTCTAAACTTCACAATTATTGAGCTTTTGGAAAGTTGCATAAAACACTAATTAATCGCGCAAATTCCGATTTTTTCCTCCAGCCGTTTCGGAAAAAACAATAACTGCGCTAGCTTTGAGATGAAAGTTCTCGCAGCCACTTTAATACAGTTGCGTAAAAATTACCTTCTGTTTACATGCTATATAAATTGAATATCTTGGAGAAGAATATTGAAATAATGTATTTTTCTGCATCGTTTTTATTGATAACTTTTCAGTTATTTTATAAACAAATCTTGATTTTAATTTATCTAAAAAAGAATGAACAAAATTTGTTGAGAGGAAAAATTTATTCCGATTGTATTGGATTTACATATCGAAGCAATAATAATTAAAAAACGTAAAAAACGAGCATTAAAAGTAACCTTTGTTTTTCTTTTGGATTTCAGTTGTTTCGAGAGGGATATATGTCTGAGGAAAGGAGAGAGGCACGAGTATTTTGTGATCATCATGAGGACACTCTGGATCGTGGTGGTCATTCTACTCGAGATACACTTGTATTTCACAGGTGAGTTTGAATTCATGGAAATGTATTATATAATTTCGTTACACTATTATAGTATGCGTATTATATACGATGTATATGATACGCATACTACATTTTGAATATACAATTATTGAACAAAAGGATTTAAAAGCCACAATTTTTTTTAAAAAAGATCTGACAAGGCTGCATTAATTTACGTAAAATATGGAACATTGTCTCTTTTAAAATGCAAAAAGCAGACAGTCTCTTTAATTATTCGCAGAAAAAGCGAGGAATGAAAGTTTTAGTTTTGTAAAAAAAAAAACCGCTATTTATTATTTAGCATTTCTAAATTTTACATATATAGTAAAATTTATAATTTAGTGTATATATACATATATAGTGCGTACAAATAGCGCACGCTGCGCTACTTCATTCGGAATTCTTTAGCTCTTTCGGCTATTACAATATTTAATTTCGTCGCATCAGGAGAATGTGGCATTTTGCAGATTTTATAGGATTAGAGTTTAGAAATTGTGCGGCGGGAAACGACATGCTCACTCGTATTTTCTACCTCTCTTCCGTACGTTTTCCTCTCGCAAATCGCGTGTTTAAGTACAGAGCGGCTCACCTAGCCTAAATAATTTTGTTTCTAATTCTCCTCCGCGTCGTGTTCCTCCTTCGCTCGACATTCGCTTCACGGCGGCATACAATTTTCAGCGGTAATGATGCCGCCTGAAGAAACACAGGCGGTTCGACGGCGGCACGCCACGTTCTTCCGTACTTGCGTTCGGGCGAGTTATTTTCGTGCCCGGCAATGGAAAACACTTAATCCGATGGCTGACAAGCAATTTCCGGTTATCGCGTTGCCGCGTAGTTTCGATCTCGTTAGCGTTGGAACTTTTCGGACGGGCGAGCGCATCGAAATCACGCGTCGATCGCCTGTCGATCGTTCCTTACATCGGCGATGATTCGCCCTTCCCCGAGACACCGTGACGACGCGGACATGCCGACGGACAAATTCGCCAGAACGTCTCATTCCCGAACGAGACGATGCGGTACTGATGAAAATTTAGGTCGCCGCCGCCGTAACACCTCCGAAGCTTTAGATCTAATTGAAAGTTTAATTAAATGCACACCGGCCCCTATTACCGGGCCGTTTTACGATTCCCGATTCGGCAAACTTTCTGAAATTGTGCCAGATTAATCTTCCACTATGTGCGAATACTAATCACTGGTAAATTCAATTTAGAAAATTGCACCAGCCCGGAGTTTTACTTTGTCTTTGCTTAAGTGAAAAACAGGCGTTTAAGATTTAATGCGCCTTATTCGCGCGAATTATTTCTTGCGTCGTTTCACGTATATCTTTTTCAGTGATAATTTCACGAGAATGCATCGCACCGTATAGCTTACGCATACAGGTGCCTCACAAATATTAAAACTTATATTCAGAGATTTATATCGAGAGACTTTTGTATTATCGCAGTCAAATATTTTCATAGTTAATACATAGATAATTCTGGATGTTCATACGGGAAGAGTGTCTCATGAAAATAGTAAAATTGAGTTCGTGAATGTCGAATAATACTCAATTAGTCGGTAAAATAAATACACGAGCGCGAGAGAATTCAGTAATATACTTTAGCACAGCAAAAAGAGAGACGTATATTTAAATATTTTTATTATGGAGTGCTAATTTTTTGTTGCATTATTAATTGCTAATTTTCATATTTATAAATTGTGCACTACAAGAAAGGAAAAAAAAACAAAATTTTCAACGTGCGAGAATATTTTGTATTTTAATTATAATATATTTTGTTGACTTGACATTTTTTATAAAAATTATAATGTTCCTCTATTACGTGATATAAAAATCTCTATAATTTTTTCACAAGGTACGAATATCTATTCTAATAATCCCTTAGGGTGTCGTCCGTTTAACCGCTTCTTCTTTCTCTCTCTCTTTTTTTTTTATTAATTCCGGTCGCGAAGAATTCGAGTATTTTTCCCGTGGGACTTTCTGGCGAATAATCACTTTGAAATACTGAACGCTGACGGTGGCAACGGTGTTAATTCATTTCGACAAGGAAATTCAAGTGAGATGCGCGGCACGTTGATCGACATCGACAGGATGGCCTGTAACAATCTCTTGTATTACTAACGACAAATGCAGAATGCACACAAAGATTCCATATTACGATCGAGCTTTTTCCAACGTGCATAAAAAAGGAGCATTTTTCATTACGTAAATTAATTGAGATGACTATTAATAACATATAAATTTCTTACGTTTCTTCATATAATTTATATATAATAAATAAAAAATTTGATATGTAGAAAGAGGGAAACGTATCGTACATTTTGTTTTACTCTTCTTAACAATACCTGTTGTATATAATAAAAATTAAATATATATACCTATATATATATATGTTGAACCTAATTTATTATCAATAATATACATTAATATTACTAATTTTTATAAGATCTATAAACAATTCACAAATAAGTGAGAAGCATTTATGCTTTGTTATATGTTTTTTTTAAATATTTTTTGTTTATTCTACGTTATTATTTTATGTGCACAAGTTTGTAATTATATTATTTGTTATTCACGAATGCGTTTTGTTCAACAGCGAGAACTTAGTCGAGATAGTTGCACATTATTGTATAAGAACTTCAAGTGAACGAAAGTATTGCCATAAACGTGCATGTGGCGTGTATATCGCAGCGTTTTAAAAGCGAACTTTGCATCGTCGGCGTGAAGCGTCAGATTTCAAGCGCGGGCTTTCAACTCGTTGAACAGAAATAGAAACTTTCCGGATATTTGCCGGCTGGAGATCTCGCGCGCGAGGCGCTTGCGGGTGAAATCTTCTTCCCTTTTTTTTTTATTATGTCGGAATTAAAAGTCTGAGATGCGCGCAGGCAGGGAGACAAGCGAACGATCGTGAGAGGCAAGCGGACGAGAGGCGGGACGCACAACGAGCGAGAAAGTTTCCGGCTGAATATCCGCGGGAATTCGCCGCGGTTTGGCGCATCTCGGGTACCCGGTAAACGCCCGCGCCGAACCGTCGTAATTGCCATGACTAAGTTATTCACTTAAGCCACTCGGGCGACGCTGGGGTTATGCGTTATCGCCGGCGATGGTGGCTGCATTAATCTCGAGAGCAGGAGGGACGAGGCGGCGCTTCGTCGTCGTCTCTCGCATTCCCTGCGCCGCGCCCTTCGTCAACCATGGAAATCGCCCTTAATCCTTGATCATAGCCGGCCTCGGAGCTAACGCAGCCCTTGAAGAGACAGATATTATGGGCGCGGAGCCCTTCTGGCGCGCGCGAGAAAATACGTGGCGTGATTTCTCACATTTTACTACAGCACCGTCGTAATTTTCATTTAATTGAAATCTTCCGGGAGACCTTAATTAATCGATCCTAATTCTGCTACAATCTGCGCTAAGACTGAGTGAGCACTAAAAGAAAAAGGCATCAAACAGTAGATCTATACAGAATTCTTATTTGTATAATTATTATAAATTCCCAAAGAATTTTCTGCGCGAAATCAAATTATTGTAACAAATTATTGTAACAAAGAACATGGCACATACTGTGTCCACACAAAGGGAATCCACTCCGCAATTCATTTCATAATTGTGTAGATAAGTGGAAAGAAACTTTAGAATTTTCAAAGTGTTTTATAAATAAGAAGCGTGTCTGATTGTCTGCAGAATATGTCATAGTAATAAACATACTTATTCAACAAAATGTTTTAATTATCTGAAAGAGCAATTTTCATTTCGATTCGAGAAAAATTGTTGCATTTAATATTAATTTGTTGATATGACGCGTCGTACACAGATGTTACTTGGACTGGGTGGAAAGTGGTTCCTAGCTTCAAAAGGCATTGTTGTAATTTATGTTCGCAGTGAGCCAGGCGAAGCATCAGCAGAACTCAAGTGCCAATAATGCAATCGCCCCATTGAATGCCCCGGAGGGTAAAAATGAAGATGTTCCTGAAGGACCAATTGGAGAGGTGCTTGCTCAAAGTGGTACCACGGCAATTCTGCCGTGCAAAATTACCGATCCCGGAGCCGGAACGGTAAGTGTCACGCAGCTTAATAATATATTGCACTTCGGTCCATTAATACATCAATGTTTCTCTCACCTAGAACCTAGGTGTGTCATTTATTGGTTTTATCGAAAATGATGAAAAATAATTCCAGTTTGGCCGGTTCTCGTCAGCTACATCCTTTTCATTTCTATCGAATACGCATTGCTAAAAATAAAATTATAAAAATTGAAAATACCCTCGCGTTGTTACTAGCAGCTTGAAACGGTATAACAAATCGAATATTATGTACAAATGCGGCTATTAATATCGTGCTATGATAAATTGTAACGCGCGTAAAAGGATTAAAATTTCTATCTGTTATAATATAATTGTGTAAGTCCGGCTATTGAAAACGACATTGTCCCTTGAATTCAAATGCTTCAATTGAAATACGTAAATGAGTAATTTTTCAGGAAATTATTTCTCTGCAAACGCGTACCATTGAAATATTAATAATCAACATTTTTCCCTGGCTCGATTTCTCTTCTCGCGTACCATTTCTCTCGTACAATCTCAAAAGCCTCTCGTCTTCTTCCATTCACACCAGACTTTCCAGATTTTCATTTCCGTTATACGGACAGGTCCGAACGATTCTCATTTAATTTCCGTTTCCTATCGCGCGCACGCCGAGCGCGAGTGATCCATAAAGAAACGAGTATTCGCTGTTTCTAATATGGTTGACGTCCGCGTCGTAGCACGGTGAAACGACCATTCAAATGTAAACCGTCGGTACGTGAATGACAAACGCGAAGATAAAATTTGAAATGTCAAAGAGGCTCTTCGTGGAGGAAATATCTCTCATCACAGACACCATTAAAGGTTGCGGAGTACAGATTTCCTTTATTTTCTTTCTTTGGTAACGCGAATTATCTCGGCAATCGCGCGTGCTGACAATATTTTCAGACACATTTTATCTTCGTCGCTTGTCAAAAAACTAAAGAAAGCACAAAATGGATTACACAACGACATGCGTGACTAATTTTCGCTATCGTGTGATGATGACGTTGATATATCTCCGTCGCGTCTATTCAATGAAGAATTACGCAATCCCGCCCCGTTTTTCGAAGAAGAGACTCATTTTTGCTAAAATATCATGTCAAATAAAACAATATGTTTCTTTTAATTTTATTGCGAAAAGACTGATTATATTGCGAAGGTATTAAAGATTTGGGATTTTCTTATTGCAGTAATAAGCTCTTTTTATCGTCGCAATAAACAGCGTGACATTAATGCATGTAAATTAATGTAAGTACACATATGGATAATGAAGATAAATCCGCACTGCAGATTACACTAGTTGTCTTCCTTCATTGAGAAATTTGCGAATGGAAAAACATTCATTTTTAAAATACATCTGCAAGTATTAGCTTTCTGTTTTGAATATGAGGGAGGTTTCCTGGACAGATGTCGAAAATAAAATAAATACGGCAAATCAACAACTCATCTCATAACCAAGCTTGACGTAATGCGCTTTAATAACTTTTTATGAAGCTCAGCTTTCTCCGATTTGTCGAGTTCGCGACTGAAAGCGCGGACATGTAGATTTTCCCATCCCTTATGAAGATATAGATTTTTGCGTATAACCACGCAAACATGTACGTCCCGAAGCAATACAGCGTGTGCGGTATTGAAAGCGGAAATGGACGCGATGCGCCATGCTGGAAGTATAAATGATAGGTCGATACGGTATTTTTGTCCGTGAGTTGCGGGCCGTTTGCTTTTTTTTTCTCTTTTTTTTTCCCCCGCGGTCCTCGCTACGTACTTTAATACTGTGTAGCACCGTCGGTCCAGCAAATTGCCCCAGTTTACGGCGCTACAACGGCGCGCTACTCCACAGCGTATGCTCTTTGTCTTATTTAGAATTGTCGTTCCCGAGAAAAAAAAAAAGAATCGACGGATACCTAATCTGCGTGGATCCGCGTGGCGAGCGCGTCTGGCGTTCGCGCTTCATTCCGAGTTATTTTCATCTCGCGTCTGGATTCCCCGACATTTCGGAAACACATGAAGTACTAATTGACAACACATACAACCGAGAGAATCCATCGCTCCACCAATGGTCAGAATTTTTCTTTACGAGACTCCCACATCCCGCTCGCGCTCTCGCGTTTCCCGCGCCTCTCGACGTGAATTCGGCGCTCTCTCGGAAAATTGGAGATTACATCCCCGCATCTCGTCGGTCGATTCAGTATTTGGAATGTATTCTCTCGTGAACCGTGCCGTGGATTCCGTGCCGTAACGCCGCGCCGTCGCGTCGGACCGTTGGTTGCCTATTACGCCCGCCTGCGCCCTCGCGAAGCCGAGAAGTTCGCTCGGGAATATTTTAGAATATTTTAGCGGGCTTCGGGGGCGTTAAAACGACGGGCGCGCCAGATGCCGCGTGACTGTATTCCTCTTTTTTTCTTCCTGCCCCTCCCTCAAACCCCGAGAAAAGGGGTAGAGGTGAGAACGAAAGGGCAATCCGCGTTATGTGCATACGCGATCGAGATGGTGGAAACATTCTTCCCTCTCTCTCTCTCTCTCTCTCCCTCTCGATACTACTGGCGGTATACTTTAGAAATCGGAATGGAATTCCGAGAGTCGACAGACGCGATTCTCTCCGCGCGACAGGCGACGCACGTTTCCATGAAATTCCGACGGGTTTCCCCGTGCCGACGTGAATGAGACGTAAGCCGACTTTAAACGCGCATTTTCCGCGACACCTGCTTCGTATCGTTGGAAAACGGACTTACACACACACACACACACACACACACACGCACACACACACACACACACACACACACACACACACCACACATATATATATGTATGTATATATGTATATATAACTGTCATATTTGGATTTTATACGGAGAACACGTCAAAAGTTATAGACTGTTGCCTTCGATAAAATTATAAATTTCTCGACAGACATCGTGATTAAATCTCGTTGTGGATGTACTCTTTATTAAAATACGTTTTTAAATAAAAATCTTTTTACATTGCAATTCCTTCAGTGGTTTCCGCATTTATAGACATGATCCCGCGCGGCATTCTAGCTCTCTTCCTTCAGCACTTAATAAATTATATTTTCCAACACGGGGAAACGTCGGGAGATTCTCTTTTGACTCTGCACACGCTGCTTTCCTTTGAAAATACATCAAAGGTATACAGACGCTCGCTTTGACACAAATCGAAATTGCGTTTCAATAGGCAGAAACAAATCGATACGCGTTGCGTGTCAATGCTTAAAGCCCGCAACCGCTATAAACGGCGCACGAAAAGTTGGGAGCGTACTCTCGGGGGATGCGGCATGTTTATACGAACTCCACGGAGGGTTTACTCTTCTACCTTTGATTTCTGGATTTTACAGCTCCGCTGGGCACGGAGGGAGCGGGGACTTTAGCTCGTAATTTACTTACAGCATGAGAGTATTTCAGGTCTCTTCCCACTTCACGCATTGCCAGAGTTATGTACAAAATTTAACGGCAGCAAAGCAATTTACAGTTTTTAACATCGTTTTCTCTGCAAGACTCCTCCGTTCCTAAAAAGATTACTGCTTTTGGAAACACGTTAAACACGTTAATTTTTCTCGTTCCCTCGCTCGATTACGGGATAAGTTATATCGACTGAAATCTTGCACGAGAAAGGGACTACTTTATAATTAAAATATCGGAGTGCTTTCATATATTTTAATTAAATAAAATTTCAGAAAATTCAACTCGATTTATCGTTCAATCGCTCGTTATTCATGCGAAATAAATGCAGTTTGTCTGGCAAAAGTTTGGTTGGCTGGGTTTGCGGAAGAGATGGCTGGAAAAGCAAATTTATTCAAAATTAATATAAATATTTTGAATGTGTGTTAATAATATATTAATAGATAGGTAGTATCACACATGTGGTACACCAGTTAAATTAAAAGAAAAGGGCGCAGCTCTTACGAAAATCCGAGAAGCTTGGGATATTTTCTTTTAGTTCGAAAGATTGATATGTTTATTTATCGCCTCTCGCTGCACCGATCGCTCGCGCTGTGGGTGAGACTTTTGTTCTGGACGATACGAAAGTTGCAAAATCTAAGGCCACTTATGCAAAACTCCCTGTCACGAACCGCATATAACCTCGGCGCGGATCCCGCATCGTCGTCGTCGTCGACCATGAATAAAAGATGAATTCATGCGCGTCTTGTGTACTACAGAAATACAGAAACAAGAAACAAGGGCTGCCCCGAGGTTCTTTATGCAGCTAAGGCCAAAACAAGTAAAAAGCACCTCGCTATCGCGGGTGGTAAAAAGGAGGGGCGGTCGAAGAAAGGAGGGGGGAGAGGGAAAAGCGCATTACATCTTGTCTATGTAACTGCCGTCGTATGGAAGTTCATCCTTTTTCGCGGCGAAGTAACATGTATTCTCGCAACGGCAACGAGATATAGGCGTCGTAAAATTTGTTCAAATGATGAATAAATGGTATCTGTATCTGTCTAAAATATCTAAAATGTCAAATCATTTTTTAAATAAAAATCGCTTCAGAAACATTCCAACCTTCAACCAGCTGTCGATTAAATATATCTTTATTCTGAAAATAGTTTTTAGCAGTAAGTAAGAATTTTAAATTCTACATGTTTCGATATTCAGTATTTTAAGGACGAAGAGCTGTACGATCAGTATAAATTCTTGCGCGTATTTTCCACTTATAAGAGATATCGTATTACCTTATAAATTCGACCGACTTCTTTTCGTGTTTTATCAATGAACTCTCCGGGATTCTTCAATTTATAAAGCACCATTTATCTTTCCTCGGAATGCGCCGAAAAAGTTTCGCGTAAAAGTTGAGCGGCGGAAATATTCAAAGCGGTTTTTGTACGCGAGGTTCTCTATTCCTCGTATTCTCTCAAGTATCCGTGTGTTATTTTAAAATCCGGGAGAAACTCCTAAGAGATACCAAACGTTTCTTTTACGGTAGTCTCTGAATATATTTGGATGCATATATATATATGCGCACACACATTCACAGAG